TCAGGGACACAACGACATGCTGACTGCAGTGGGGTTAGAACCTGTTGGACCCCCTGCTCCGAACACCAACGCACAGCCCACTGCACCACACGCCTCCGAAATAATAAATAATAGATATTTAAGAAGTACAATATAAGACAAGAAGAAGTTTATTATACTTAAGTCATTATATTTTTTGAATTTGCTGAGGGAGGGCCGATTCAAAATGGTCCGTAGTTTGGACACCCCTGATCTACAGACACACATTTTATGAAAACTAACCTGGATACAGTTTTCTTTCTCATATATGACTTGTATGAAGATTGTTAAAGCTCAGATTGGAGGGATTTTGTTTTGGATAATTGTTTTGTTGACTCTAAGCTTTCTGTAATTACTTTTTACACCCGTTTATTAATGCTAAGTTGAATCTGTAATAACCAGCCACATTGCTAAAACGGCTTAAAGGTTCAGGTTCATTTGTATGTTTTTTGATGAACTTTACTACTTAATGTGTTTTTTTGCATTATCTTTTCCATCAATTCAAAGTGTAAACAACGAGTTTGAAACCAACCTTTAATCGAGGAAACAAAACTCCACATTTAAGGTCTAAAATGATGCTTATAGAGGTTCTCTTTCCCCTTGTCTAAAGCAAAGCAAACAAGGCCAGAATCTGGACATTGACAAGTGGGTGATTGCCTGTAATTTTTTCCCCAAAATAAATGTTCCTCCTCTTCTCTCCGCAGAAATCTCACACCTGTCTAAATCTGCTGTCAGAGGCATATATGTGTGCCTGTAATGTCATGCAACATGACAGATCTTTAAGGTTCTTCCTCCTCTTCTCTCAGCAGACATCTCCCACCTGTCTGTCCTCTCAGTAGCATTTTGTCCTTTCTGCTGCTCTCACGTCTCTTTCTCTTCCCCTCAAGAAGAAGGAAGTCCCTCCTGGCTGTGTGGAGACTTCTTCAGCATGGCCGACGTCTCTCTGGCCGTCACCCTGCACCGCCTCAAGTTCCTGGGTCTGTCCCAGCGGTTTTGGGGCGAGGGGACTCGGGTAAATCTAGAGACGTACTACGAGCGAGTGGTTCAGCGGCCGGCCTTCAGGAGGGTGCTCGGACACGTCAACAACATCCTGATCTCCGCCGTGCTCCCCGTGGCGTTCAAAGTGGCGAGGAAGAACGCTCCGATGATCCTCGGCACCACGATGCTCATCGGGGTCCTGGGAGGGGCCGCGTACCTCGCCTTTCTCTACATGAAGAGGAGGCTGACTGTGTCCTTCTGAGGGAGAAGAGACTGGGAAGTAGATAAACACAGGACACATAGGGACATTACTCCGACTTCATGATGTAGAGTTAAAAGACCAGAGAGGGATATGATCGTTCTGCAGACTTCAGTACTCTAGGCTGATTAAAACACACGTTAATTCTCTCATTGGCATATATAGGTAATTAAGGGATTAGGATGAGAACACCTTTACAATATATTTCTGATTCTGCAGCTTCAAAACCACATAGCTTATGTAATGAATGCTAAGTCAGAAGGTATGAATACATGAAATGAAGATTAAGGGTAGAACACCTGGTGTTGGATCAAATATTTAAACTAAGGAAAGGATCAGATAACTTTTCTATCTTACGGAGATCTTTGTTAGGCATTGCCGAAATGTCTGATTAATACATTACAAATATGTTGAAGTGTCTTCTCTTATAGCTTGGCAGTTTTTTTTTTACAATCCATATAATTAAATAAGATGTTTATTTATTCCTGAAGAGAATTGTTGTTAGCAGTTTCAGTGCAAAGCGTCTTTGAGTTTCTAGAAAAGCGCTATACAAGTGTCATGTATGAAAGAAAGTACAAATATAAATATATATAAAACATATACATATAATTTGAAGAATCTAATAGCTGTTATCTGCTTGTTTATGCAAATTGTATCTGCCCTGTCAAATAAATATGTAAAAGATATTGAGGTACATATATAAATAAATAGCACATGAATGTATCATCGGTCTCAATCGGATACACGTCTGCAATGCTTTGTTAGCATAACGAACTGTAACTTCTTAGAAATGGGCTGAACTCCACAAAAAGAAGGCGTGGTCATCTTCATGTGAACTTCAATCATAGATACGTTCGTCCTATATGCGCTTCGTCATTTACTATTTCATTGTTGTGCATTTTTGCTTGTTAGAAATGTGAAAAGTAAACTAAGAGACTGCTTTCTGTGAACAAACTATGCGTAAACTTCTGACAAAGCTCTGCAGGATGTCCCTGTCGTCTCATGTTTTACTGTAAGACATTTAACAAAAGCTGAATGCTTTTCAACCAAATAAAACATCTGTGTGAATTAAACTGCTCCCTGACAACCTGCTGAAAAAATAAACGTCAAAGGTTGCAAAAACTCCAAACTCAGCATCATTTCACCGAAAGGTAAAGTATTTTTAAGCGTTTCACAGGGAAACATCAGGCACACACTGACATTCAACACACACTCAGCTAGATTCAAACTCCTCTTCAGACAGACAGACAGACAGACAGACAGACAGACAGACAGACAGACAGACAGACAGACAGACAGACAGACAGACAGACAGACAGACAGACAGACAGACACACACACACACACACACACACACACACACACACACACACACACACACACACACACACACACACACACACACACACACACACACACACACACACTCTTTCTCTCTTACACATACACACACA